ACCCAGTGAGGGCAGCACAGAGCAGCTGGGCCCCTGGACCCGCAGAGTGTAGGCGAAGAAGACAGCAACGTGTTCTGAAGCCGTTAGCGGTGTCGGCCGGTGCACACGCCCACCGAGGGAGGGTGGCCTCCAGGACAGATGGGGGCACAGACCTCTGAATAGCTGCTTCTGCACACGGCCCTTCCCAGAAACAGCCTGACCATCAGGCCAGGGATGGGGATTCAAGAGCCTGCCCCCGGCTGCAGGGAGGACTGAAGGAGGACCCTAATGACTAGCATTCATTCTGCTATTCCCCAAGGCCCCTTCCCCCCCCCCCGAAAAAAAACTGTATTATTTGATAGCAGATAGAAAAGAAGTGCCAGGGAGGTCCCGATTAGCGGTAGCACCACCGAGGTCTCAGCACCGCCTTCTCGCCACCCTGGGCTTCATGGAAGCAGCTGTCTCTGGCGTGCGTTAGGAAGCAGCACCCCCCACCCCCACCCCGTTTCCCAGCTCCCAGACACAGCCCCTTCCTTCTAACCTCCCAACAGCAGCCACAGTGCCCAGCCGGGTGGGCCAGCCTGCTGGAGGTGACTGGCTGTACCAGGAACTCGTGTGCACAGAAGCTGCCACTCTGACTGGCAGGAAAGAGGGCCCCTACCCTGCGAGGCCCTCCCTGAGCTGCTGCGCTGCACCAGGGCAAGGGGCCCTGAGAATGGCTTTCTGCTAAGGCTGTCGCCACCTGCTTCTGGAAGTCCTAGATCCTTCGCGATCACACAGTAACCCGAGGATGCCCTACCAGACTCAGTCGTGTTCTCGGGATGGAATTCTGTCTTTCAGTGGTGGTTTTTTCTGGTCCTGTTCCTCACTCCTACTTCCAGACTTCGGGCAATGGACTCCCCACAGGCTGGCCCTGAGTGTTCATTTCCCTACGTAGAGGGGATTCATTTGAAGTCCACAGTAATTGCTAACTCCTGCTACAAGGAGAGCTTACATGTGGTTTCATCTGCTTTCCTTCTTGATTTATATAGTTTCTTGGAGGCAGTGGGAAACAGTCCCATTTATATGGAATCCTGGAATTTAGTATTCTTCTTGAAATATTTAAATGGTTATAGACTCTAGGCTGGCAGTTAGCCTTCCAGCAATTAAAGATAGCCTCTCAACCTCTGATGAAAAGTCAAATCAACTGCAATTCTGAGAAAATTTTCTTTCTTCTCTGTGTTAAAAAACTTCTCTGTGTTTACTTTAATTAAATTTACTGTAATGTGTTTAAATATAGTTTCCTCTTTGTTAATTCTCCTCAGGATTCACTGCCCTCTTGAAACTGTGAACTGGTGTAGTCCATCATCTTAGGTAGATAAGTCATTATCTCTTCTCATTCCTATGCACTTTTATTCCTCTCCTTCTACAACTCCAAAAAGAAACTCATTGGGCTTTCTAGCCATACCCTCTTGCTTTCTGTATTTTCAGTATTCTTAATGCTCCATGTCTTACTATGGCTATTTTCTTCCAAACATCTTCCAGATCACTAATTTTCTCTTTAGCTGTGTTAAGTCTATCCATTAAACTCTTTGTTTTGGTTATTATAATTTTTAATTCCAGGAGCCCTGGTCATTGTTTGGTCATTTTTCAAATTTCTTGTGAAAAGCTATTCTCTGCAGAGAAGTTTCTCTTTTTTTTTTTTTTTTTTCATCTGTAGAATAATAGTTAATGGTTTCTGTCTAAGAATTAAAAAGCTCAATATTTGTGAGCCTGTTCCTGTTATCAGTTTATTCCTACTGAAGGAGTCTTACATGTGTGATAATTTTTGACTATGTGAAGTTCACTTTATTTGAGAAAGAAAATACTTACAGGAACAATTCGAGTTCTAGTAACTTCTTCCAGGAAAGATTTTATTTCTCACAAGCATTTTTAAGAACTCCAGGACAGAATCACTACACAAGGTTCAAACAACCCTTGCCCTCTCCAGTAACTTGAAGGTAGATTGTAAGACTATGAAGGCTATAGCACCTCCACTATACGCTGATGTGTCATTTCTATGGGCCTCAGGAAGCACATGGGAAGTTCTCCAAACCCCATCGTGAATAAGAATAGGCTAGAGTTTGACCCATTCACTCAATGAGACTGCCAAGACTACTCTGGGATTATTTCATCTGGATCAGGAAACGCCCTCAGGACAACAGTGGCTTTAGTGTGAGGCTTTGCTCCCTAGGTCCTAGTGTTCAGGTCCAGGAAGTCTTTGTCTTCTTGACAGTAGCTCAGTTCTTTTAAGAAAGTTCTCTAAAGTTCTTTTCTTTTTCTTTTTTTTTTCTTTTTTTTTTTTTTTTGTTGTTGTTGTTATTGTTTTGTGCTATTTGCTGAACTAAAAAAAAAAAAAAAAATCTTACCCGGCTTTTTAATAGTCTTTGTTTGGAAAGTCAAAAAAAACCTGCCACTACTAGAAGTTCCTTCTACCTGCACCTTGTTCTTAATGCCAACTGGCTCAAGTCGCCAATTCTCCTTCTGTGAGAATTCTACAACTTAAGCTCCAAAGACTACAGGCAAAGATTCCCCTGGGGTTTCTCAGCAGCTAGCTCATCCCTCTTGAGATGAATCATTCCTCCCCAGCCTGTGTTCACTCTCAAAACTGCTGCCCGGCCCCTTTCCCATGCAGCTTCCATCGCCGACACAACCTCTCTCTTCATTCACGGCATCTTTGTGTCTATAAAGAGACTCTTACAAAGACCTATAGGTGCCAGAGAGGGATTACAACTCTACTCAAAAGAGCAAACAATATTAACATGTCTCTTCGGAATTCCTAAATTCCTGAACTACTCCTTACTACTAGAAAATAAAGTGACACTGTCTCTCTTTTGACCTTCCCTCCCACCACCTTATCATGCTTCTTTTGTTCTCTTCTGCCTTCTGGGCCCATATTCTTGTAACACAAACATGGAAACTCTAACACACATTCAACTGGACTTCGCTGAGCTATTAGGTCCTTTTCTAAGGACTAATACCATCTAAGCCATGGCTACAAAACTTCACCCTCCTAATCAGTAAGTCTATGACACTTCACCAAAGTGTCTAAGTTTTCTGAATAAATGCTCTTCTTCCCTAAAATGCAGAAATGAGGCACTGGCTTTTTTTTTTTTTTTAAAGCCGTTTTTTTCTTCCTAGTATATAACCTGCCAATAATACAACCCTTATAGTCCCTGCAAAAATTCAAAGCCTACAAATTCTTCTTCGAAGAGGTATGTGAGTGATGAAATGGCAGAGGGGAGCCTCGGGTCACTGAGGCCTGAAGATGCTTCTCCCAGGAGGTGCGGAGGGATGCCGCACCCACCAAGCAAAGTGCCTAACTCTAGAGTCTGTATGCTTCTGCTTCGAAAGCCTGGGTTTCTGTATCTTGAGGCAATCACAGAAATTCTTTAAAGTTTCATTAGAAGAAGAGGAACAAACAGGTTATGCAGTTTAACCTATTACACCAAAAAAATCTTCTCTGCTGTGTAGAACTGATCCTTTTAAAGAAAAAATTGCAGGATGAAAACACCCTACTTAAAAGCTGCACTGAAAATAAAGATATGATTTACTAAGACTTGCTGGGGCCCTCTGGTTGTTGTTGCTGCTCTTTTAAACAATCACCCAGCAAATCTGCAACGTGCTTCTTTCTAAAGCACAGTACCAGAGGAAATCGATTCAAGTACTTCCCAAACTACAGCCCTGGAACAAATGAGCACTAACCACAACTTTCTAAGCTGCTCCAAGAAGTAGAAAATATGCCTTCTGAGGGACACGCGAGGAAAGGAAGAGTCCGCTAAGAAAGTGTAATTCATATCTACTGCAAATCATATTTCAAAGGCTGGATGAGACTGGGGAGCACTTGTGAACCTGCCGGCAGGAAAAAAACCACCATCTCGGAACAGCTCACTGAGAGATGTCCAACAGCTGGATGTAACTGCACTCAGAGAAGCAAAACCAGTGTTCAAATGGAGTAAAACACTGAGTTAGATACAATGTTACTGGGAGAGCTACACTTTATAATGCGGAGGTTAAGTAGTAACCATTAGACGGCAGGGTTGAAAATCAGACCCCATCAAGGAGCGAAACAGAGTTTGTAGTATGAACGACTCCGTTTTCCAGCGTCACTCAGGAGCTCCACAAACTCAGTGTCTCCAAGGGAAGGCTGCGGCCCCAGCTCCCAGTGCTACAGGAACAACGAGGAGGGAGGCTAAGTAACCTCTCATACTGGAAGGCAGGACACTGGAAGGCTCCCTGCCATGTCTAAGTTTCAGACGAAGCACAACTGCTCTGCAAAGTCTGTGAAATAAGTCCCCAAGCTCGCAGGGAACTCTGTGGAAGAGCATGTCCCTGTTCCATGCCTCCTCACTGAGGCCCGGAGCCACAGTACAGGCCTGCTCCCACCTGGCATCACTGTGCGGATGCTCTGCTCATTAATCTAGCAAGCCGTCAGAGAATATGCCTGGAACAAGCAAGCATTACCCCTCGACTTCCATTTAATTAAACTCTGCTATTGCACTACGAAAGCCAGCACATCATGGGGGAGTTATTTTAAGGGGGAAGGTAGAAGTATTTCAAAGCCCCCACTTAAACATGAAAGCATAATCTAAAATTGCCTGAGCACACACTATAATTTTTCCATAATACTAAAGATGTTACTTCTAGACTTCGTAATTAATTGGATTCCACAGAGAAATTATTCTAGCATCCTTGATAGCAAAATGATACACAAAGGCAGGGAGCAGGGTGCCAAAGGACAGCCACAAACAGCCACTCTGTTCCAGATTACAGCAGTCACGGGGCTTAGTAAGGAGCGAGCGCTGCGTCTGCGGCACACGCACTGCGAGCTACGAAGCAGTGCACTGGATCCTGGCGCCGCCTCGACTAGAGGAGCGGCGCGCCCGCAGCGGCCTCAGGAGGATGTGCAGGAGGGTCCTGAGCACCGGGGTGCCCGGCTGAGTGAGGACAGCCGGCCATGTGCGCGTTGGAGCCAACTCCCTGGGCCTCTCCCCCTTACTTACCATCGATCCGGCTCACCAGCTCCTCCAACATTCTCACTTTCATTTGAATCCCAGGTTGGGCAAAGGTGTAGTTGTCCTAAGGGAGAAACGACAGTGCACATCACAGGCACGAACACGAGAACGCATCGTCCAAAGCAGCGGGGGCTGGGCTCCGTGAGCGGCTTTATAACAATGAATTCAGATGAACCATTTGATTTTGAGGAACAAACAAGGGACAGATGCTGTACGGCACGCCCATGTGTGTCACCATCCAGTCCCACGCTAGAGGGAGAGGCCGCGGCCCGACCTCAGGGGGCAGCACCACGTCCCCATCTCAGGAGGAGCCACGTATCCTACGTGTAAACACAACGAGGTATTTACGTTTCACCAAACAACTGCTGTCCCTACGTGGTGCTCAGGCAGTGGAAGCATCGCTGTGCCAACGCCTGGCCGGGACCTGCACAGCGGCACTCTGCACCCCCAGGGGAGACGGGGGGCGGCAACAGTGCCATGTGCTGCAGCGTGAGCACCGAGTGACCACCCAGGTGCCAACAACGCCGTCAGTGCACGGGGGAGAAAATGGGCACGAGACCTCATGCCCAGAGACAGAATTGTGAGCTCTGCCTGGCTCAGAAACCAAGACGGGAAACCTGCGCTGTGTCGAGGCAGGGCAGACCACGTCAGACAGACCTGCAGGGGCCAAGCTCTGGCCTTGGCAGGTAACCTCACCTCGCTGGGCTTCAGTTTCACCCTCTACAAAATGAGAATAACACCGCCTTCTAGAACGGTTCTGCTGTTTCAAAGAAATATGTAAGTGGGGTGCAGGAGAGGGTTCCAGGTACAATGGCGGGGTCGCACCAAGAGCACACTCAGCAGAGGACCCAGCCAGGAAGGGCTGTCACACCCCACTGCATCCCACAGAGGGACACATCAAAGGAGCTCTGACCCGAAGACAAGGGCATTCCCACGGAGACTGCCGTGAGAGCCTTGGCCAGTGTTCAGGGACCAGCTCCGAGAGGTTTCGGCTGGCGTCCCGCAGTAATGACTGAGCAGACACTCAATGAGGAACGTGAGAGTGGAATGACACCCCTGGAGACATCCACGTCCCCATCCCTGAAACCTTACACAGCACAGGGGAGATGCGGCTGCAGCCAGAACTCAGGCGGCTGACCAGCCACGACAGGGATGGTCCTGGATCACCTGGATGACCCAGTGTGCTCACACCGTCCTTCTAGGGGCAGGGGCAAAAGATCCAGTGTCCAAGCGAGGCCAGGTGAGGCCCACAGCTGCTGGCTCCAAAGGCAGAGGAAGGGGCCACGCCCCCTAAGCGGGAATGGCCACAGACACTGGAAAAGGAAGGGAAGGAACTCTTCCCAGAACCTTGACATGGACGCAGCCTGATACTGTGATGTCAGCAGGTCTCTGACCTCCAGAGTGAGAGATCGTAGGTGTGGTGGTCCTGAGCCCTACCCCTGCAGTAATTTGGAACAGCCACAGTTAAAAACTAACACAGGAGGGTTACAAGGTGTGCTTTGGGGCCAGCAGGTGGCATGATGGTAAGCACTAGACTCACAAATGGCCAATCACAGTACAAGTCCTGGGCCCGTGTGTGCCTAAAATCCCAAGAGGACAGTGGAGAAGGGACTGTGGTGTGGCCATCGCCCCTGGGGGGTGACTTCTCATTCTCCCTCTCACTGTCCCTGTCTCTCTCTAGCAGGTGCAAGCACCCTATGGTGACAACTGTTTAAAAAAAATTTTTTTAAAGGAGAGAGCTGGGAGTCCCTGAACAACTACTGGTTTCCTGTGTGGTCAGGCCCGGCACTGAACCCTCCAGGGAGCAGACTGGGCACAGGCCGCTGCAGCCCCAGGCAACTTAGACCTGGCTGTGGGGCAGGGTCACGAGGCAGGAGCGGGCCTGCTGCACTGTACTTGAGCATGGGGGGGTGGGGGTGGCAGGGCCATGGGGGGACATGGCAGGGGCAGGAGTGCTGCAGCACACTTGAGTGTGAGGGAGGGGCAGGCCATGTGGCGGGGGCAGGCCTAGTGGGCCGTGGGAGAGCAGCTGCCACCTTCCACTGCAGGCAGAGCCAGGAGACCAGTGGAGGGACCCAAGCAGGTCTTCCAGGGCTGGAGGCCTGGGAGCAGGAAGCACAGAGAAGACACTGCTCTGGGGGCCACGGGGACCACAGATATCCTTGTGCTCTGAGGGGAGTCTCCCAGAATCCACAGAATCCAGGAGGAAGGGCCATGGAGCACATGGCAGAGGCACCTGCTCTCAGCAGGCCGGAGATGTGGGCAGAATCACAGAGCCTGCTCGGGTCCAGGAGGGCGCTCCAGGCAACGGCCTTCAGGCCAGCAGCAGGTCCCACGGCCGAAGAGCCCCAGGTGGAAAGCACACAGGCAGCAGTCCCGGCATGCTCCTCTCCCTGACACACACACACACACACACGCACGTACACGCACACGCACAAGCACGCGCTTCCTCAAGAGAGCAGGCTCCCAGGCCACTCTGCACAGAACTGAAAATGCCTACAAGGCACAGAAGCTTCTCCTGTCCCCAAACGGGAAATGACAGACAAACCCGTCCTCTTGCTAGGCCATGTCCCCCAGCGCTTTCCAACTGACAGGCTTCGGAGTCCAAACTGTCACATCTCTGCGAGGGCAACGTCAAGAAGAGGTCCGACTGCAACTTTAGTGAGAATGAGGCCAAAGCCCTCCGCTGCCCAGGGCAGCACGAGGAGGGGCCCTCAGACAGGAGCGCCCTGGGTGACTGGCCCTGGGGCCTGGGAGGATGTCTTCTCTGCACTTAGTGAGCTGGCTCCATGCCAGCCCTGTGGGCCCTCCTAAAACTGAGCTCTCCAGACTGAGGGCTGTCAGGCTGCACGTCAGGGCCAGGACTGCCAGGCCCCGCGCTCTGCAGCTGAGGCAGAGCAGCAGCCCCAGGCAGGACGACTTGTGAAAACCTGCATAGCTGTACGCTCACAAGGGTGAGGCTTGGCTCTCGGCTCAGGCAACTCTGACCGCCATCGCTGACCTGCCCTTGCCAAGGCTACCTGTAAGACTCAGTCTCTCCCACCTCAGACGGGGCATGGGCTGGTGTTGGCAGTCGGGCACATGGTGCTGTTGGATATGCAGGGCTGTCGCTCGGCCTCGTGGAGGAAGCCGTGAGGCTGGACGGTGCCGCTGGAGACCGAGGGAAGAGAAACAGAGTGGAGAGGCTGTGCAGCCCTGGCACAGAGGCCACTCCACCGGCGTCCTCTCTGTGCATTTCAGAGCCACAGGGGCCACCCGAACACCCAGCGAGGCCCTGCAGTTGTCCAAGGAGGACACCAGGAGCAGGGGTCTCACTGGGGGCCAGTCAGGGTCCTACAGGCTGTGGACTCGCTGACCTGGACCGAAGAGCTACGTGAAAAACAGGCTAGGGAGGTGCAAGGCAACAACTCCAGACCCAGGGTCTGCTTCCATGTCGAGAGAGTCTGGTACTTCCTTTATCCACAGTGACACCTGTCACCGTAGGCAACATCTGCTGACCTGGGGGAAATAACGCCCATGGGCTCAGCACCCTCTCCCTCAGGGTGGGCTGCACAGGACAGGGCCACCTGGTCCAGACGAGGCTCGTGGGGCCGGGCCGGGCGAGCCTGAGTCTGTGTCACCCCAGCACCGCGCTCTCCCTCAGACGAGATTCCAGTGTCTCACTGAGCAGAACGTAGGGGCTGTTCTTTGGCCCCCATCTACTATTACTCTGTTTTATTTCTCAATTTGTCAAAACCTCGGTAGGGAAGATGGGTTCCCAGAAATACTGTAATGAAAAAAGAGTAGCACCGGAGAGCCTACATAAAAAAGAAAGGAGGACGACAGTGTTGTGAAAACCTCCGACATGGCCCGGAGGCCTGGCTACGGGCTCCAGCACCCAGGACTGGATCGGCCCGGATGCAGGGCCCACCCAGGCTGGGTCACAGGGGGGCAGTCTAGGCCCCGGTCTCAGCCCGGACTTGCAGAGTGAAGGCAGGTGCAGAAGGCCCTGCTTAGGGATGAAGAAGTCTTCCAAAGGCACTCGAGGGGGACATGGCCACGGCTGAGTGGTCTAGAGCCAGAGGGCTGGAGAGACGGCAGCGGGAGGAGAGAGGTTCTGTGGCCCTGGAAGACCTCCTCCAAAGGCCTTCGCAACTCAGGCCCTCCCAGGAGCCTGCTGCCACCTGGGAGTGCCTCCGGCAGGGCGTGGATTCTGCCCCCAGCCCGATAGCCCCTCACATACACAAGGGCATACACCAGGTGCGAGGGGACCACACCCCGACCCACCAGAGCTCCCCCAGGGCCACGCAATACAGGAGAGGGCAGCGGGCAGCGACTGGAGCAGCCTGAGCTCTCCCAGACACGCCAGCGTGCTGCAAAGGCTGCTCGGGGGAACCGGCACGCCCTCCACTGCACCCTTCCCTCACGTCCTTAGGAAGATGCAGCTCGCGGTGCACGCAACGGGTTAGAGAGAGGGAAAGGCGGTCTGGGAACACCGGGGCCTTCCATGCCACGTGAGAGCGGGAAAGCGGCACACGGAGCACCGGACAGCAGGCTGGGCTTGGCCGGTGCTGCCTTCCCGAGGCCACAGCACACCCCGCAGGAGCAAGCAACGCTGCTCCCCGCAAGAAAGCAGAGTTGTTTTCTCAGGGACGCTGTATTTTATTATTTTTATTTTCTTTTTTTTTGGAGAGGTTTTTGATATAGGGCACATACACTCACCAGAAAGACAGAGAGAGGCTGAGAGACAGAAAGTGAGAAATCACCCCCAGGGAGGATGGCCATGCTGCAATCCCTTCTCCTCCATTCTCCTCTTGGGATCTTGGGCACGTACACACATGTACTCGGCGTGAGTTTAAGCCACCGGGTCCAGGCCTGGAACCACCGTCGACTACATGGGAGTCCAGCAACATAGCCATTACGCTAACTGCTGGTCCCATGAGGGACGTTTTAGAGAAGAGTTGAAATGTAAGTTCCTCTTGGCTGCACAGGAAGGGCCCACCGCAGCTGCCTCCAGCCTCCAGCCCTGGAGAGCTTAGAGTCTGCCTGCCCAACAGGGAGCCCAGGGAGCCTGCACCCCACAGC